CATTGCCTTCAGCAGCTGAAAGAGGTCCTGAGAACAAATCTGATGAGACTGTGTCCTTGGAGAAGCATCAGCAGCCAGAGAACAAAGAGCAGGAGTCCTGCAGAGCTTCACCTGAACAGGTAACAAGTTCTTTGTGAAGGATACCAAGCCAGTGGTTTTGTGTGCAAATCCTCTTTTCCCAGAGTGCTGTCTGACTTTGGGGAAAAGTTCTCTTTGCATGGATCGTAGCAGTGCCATGTAGTACCTGCATGAGAGTGACAGAGAGCATGCAACAATTCTGCCTCATTCTTGCAGGTGCTGAATATAATTCCAAAGTTGAATTATCCTCATTCTTTACTTTGTTCATGCAGAAAAAACACACAGCAGAACAGCTGACTGCAGTGCTGCCGGATGGCCCCAGAGAAGAGAGCCTGCAGTTTGTGTCAGAGCTAAAGGTGGGAGAGCAGCAGGGAATTGCTACCGAGGCAGCAGCAGCTCTGCAAAGGGAGTTTGACAAAAGGGCAGCAGGTAATGTGTCTGTCAGAGGAGCAGCAGCAGTGTTTCTTGGGCAGGACTGCTCGTGCTCGGGCGCGGTGGACGTGAGCGCCGTGTGGTGGGCGGCAGCCGGCGGCAGGGAGCTGCGCGTGGTCACTGCCTGCGAGAGCGCCGTGTCCCTCTGGGAGCCACGGGCACCCGGCTGCTGGGCAAGGCTCTACACCTGGCACCTGGGAGAGGTACGAGCACACTCCCTGCTTCTACAACTGCGGGCAGCTTCCGTGCCCCGTGTGTTAGTTACCAGGCTCTGTGGCTTGTCTGGTTGCGTGTTTCCTGCTGGAATGTAATACCTCATGCACAGAATGGTGCTGCACTTCACTTGTGCTTTTTCCCCTTAGAGTTCCTCAAGACACGTTTTGTCTCTTGTATCAGCGGGGATTGTTTAATTAGGCAACCAGTCAGCAGAGAGTTCAGCTGTTCATTTAAGCATGCTTCTTGAGAGGGGTCTGAAAATCAATCCTGCTCCACATCATTTTACTTGAAACACTCTAGAAAATGAGAATAAAGTCAAAGGGACACTGTGGGTTGCACTGAATTCTTGTTTTGTTGTCCCAGATTCCTGTAATCCAGATTGTTCCTCTGCCAGACACCTGTAACCTCGTGTGTGTAGCACTGGGAGAGCTGGAGATTGGAGAAATAAGGTTTTGTATTTATTTCTTACTAGTGCTTTGCACCCTGAGTAGTTACACCTCAGCTCCTTGTGAGAAGTGGTTGAAATTACCTTTTTACTAGTGTGGCACTTCCTCAGTTGTTTTAACAGTTGAAAAATATGGAAGTGATTTCTAAAAATCAACTATAAAGACCTGTTTATTCACCTCAGAGCTGGCAGACTGATTGAACACAGGCTGATCTTTATATGCTACTGCATATTTGAGTGGGGCTTCCTCATGTCATGGTGTGTGCTTGTCTCTTGATTTAGGCTCTTGCTTTATTCTTCTGAGACTGACTCATTCAAGCACTCCCTAGTGAAAACTGGGAATATAAAAGCAGTTATTGGGCTAAAGGACTGGAGGCTGGTGAGCAGCAGCAGGACCATGCAGGAGCAGCAAGTGGAGATGGTTTCTCTCTCAGAGACAGGGGGGTGAGTTTGGGGGTGCTGCTTTGGGGTGGTCTCTGTGTGGTGGGTGGGAGAAAAGCGAGGAAACACCTCTGATGTTGAGCAGTGTCACGTTCCTCTTGCAGAACACACACTTTTAGTTTTACCTGCTCTTCTATGTGCTGGTCTCCTTTCAGGAGCAAGGACAGGCAGACTCTGATGCCCCCTGAAGAAACTGTTACAGCCTTTGCTGAAGTAGAAGGGATGAGAGAGGCCTTGGTGGGCACCACTGCAGGGAACAGCGTTGTGGTTTGGTGAGTGTTTCCTCTGCCACACACAGTTTAGGGGCTGGGGGCAGTTTCAGCAGCTGCAGGGCTGCACAGATGCTGGCTGGCTGCTGAGCCACCATGAAATGGTGTTTGTCAGAGGGCCAGTGGTCAGTGTGGCACCACAGTCAGACAGCCAGGGCATGAGCTGTGCTGCTGTAATTCCATTGCTTTTGTATCATCCTCACTACACCCTTCCTGCCTATTGGCTTAGTTTGCTTAATGTGGAACCAAACCCATGTCCATCCTGCACAGGGGTGTAACTGTGATTAGAAATGAGTCAGAATTTGTGTTTTCACCAACTGCAGGAATCTGAAGACAGGTCAGCTCCTGAGGAAGATGCACGTTGGTTATTCCTACCCAGCTTCCATCTGCCATCGAGCATATTCTGACTCCGTATGTACACAAAATTCAGTTCATGCTTGGGCTGCACTGGCTGGCATGGGGTTATAAAGGATTGAAGTTGCTAGGGAGAGTTGAACTGTCAGCTCTGTTTCAATACACTGCAAATAATTCAAGACAGGTTACCAGGAGGAATAAATAACCTATGCTGGCTGCCTCAACTCCTGGCTTTCTGCAGGGTGCCAATAAATTGGGAGCAGTGCATCCTGGTGCATTCCAAAGCTGCAGCATGCTGCCTGTGGGAAGCAGAAGTGCTGTTGCCCAGGCCTGGTGCTTGGCAAGCCTCTTCCATGTCACACGTGGGTGCTGCCAGCATTAGAAACCCTCTGTGGATGGTTCCTCTGGACATAACATGCCCAAGGGAATGAGCTGTGTGAAACCAACATTCATACTAATTATCTTTCCCCACTTGCTTCTACCTGTGCTGTGATTCCCAATAGGTTTTGTGGTTTATCAAGGATTTCATTGTTTTCAGTGAGCATGTAACCTTTTGGGACAAGAATGTCTTGTCCAATAATGGTGCCTTGGGTCAGACTCTTTGGAGTCTTTCTCACATTATCCATCCCAGGATATTTCATGCTGGTTTGTGGCTGTTTTGGGAGCTACTGTTTTCAGTTGTGCTGCTTTCCATGGATTTTTTATTGCATTTTAAGCTTGTAGGGATTAAAATGTGACCCAGAAAATTTACTTTGTTTGTTTTTTGAAGTGTCACCTTATTCTATGGCAGGTTTAGCTTTTTGAAACAGGAAGAGAAATTCATAAATCCCTTGGGTCACTGAGCTGTCACTCTGCTATGTTGCATCAGCCTTTATCAGCCAGCAGCTGCTTTTGCTTTTATCTAATTTGATAAGGAAAGTAAACCATTTCTGTTTTCCTCAGTAAAAATAATGCATCACTGTTCACGGGGCAGTGATTAGAGAGAGTGCAGCAGTTAATTTTTGGAAAATGATGTTGCTTTTCCTCCTCCTGCTGTTGTTTTTAGTGATGTATTTTCCCCTCTCTGTATCAGGGCCTTTTGTTTGTTGTTGTAAGCCACCCTCATGCCAAAGAGAGCGAGTCCTGTGGAAGCGCGGCGTTCCGCGTGGTGGCCTTCAACCCGCGCACGGGCCGGAGCGCGGGGGCGATGCTGTCCTGCCTCCCGCCCGGCCCCGCCGGCAGGCGAGTCCCGGGCTGGGCTGGGCTTTGGGAGAGGCCCCAGGAGCAGGCGGCTCTGGCAGGGATCCAGCAGCCATGTCCCCGGTGATAAGGGGCTGCATCCGGCCCTGCGTGTGTCCTGCGCGGGCTGGGGGCCGGGCTGCTTCCTGCCCGCTCCCACTCCAGCTGTGCGCTGACCCCTCGCCCCGTCAGCCCTGCCACCGAGGGGACACGGGGCTGGCTTTGTCCCCCAGGGACGGGGGAGTGTCCCTGGGCTCCTCAGGGCTGGCTTTGTCCCCCAGGGACGGGGGGAATGTCCCTGGGCTGCTCGGCTGAACCCCTGGCGCTGCCTGTGGCTGCAGCATGCCAGGTTTGTTTGTATGGAGCAGCTGCAGGCACATGGCCTTTTCCTTCCTGTCCTGCATTTTGAGGCATCAGCAGGCTCAGCCTTGCATTTAAGGCTCAGCCTTGCAGTGTCCTTAGACAGGAAATGTGATGGATGTGGGGGAATGGTGGTGGACCAAGGTCTTGGTTACTGAACAGTCATGGAATCACGGAATGGTTTGGGTTGTAAGAGACCTTAAAGACCATCCAGTCCCAGGCTGCCCCAGGCAGGGACACCTTCCACTAGACCAGGTTGTTCCAAGCCCTGTACAACCTGGCCTTGGACACTTGCAGGGTTTTTTTTAAAGAGAACCACTTTATAAGAGTACACCTTTTTCAGCTATGTTCTCTGAGTCTCCAGGAGGATTTCCTTGGCCTCTTCCCTTCCCAGAACAGCCCTGACTGTAGGCTGCCTGCAGTTGCTATTAATGTTTAACCGAGCCCTGATCTAACTGAACAAACGCTGCGTGGTGTTTTTGCACATGTGCTGACCCCCGTGTCCCCGCAGGTACCTGGAGGGTGACGTGTGGGACACCGCGGGAGCCGCCGTGCTGACGTCGGGCGCGGTGGCCGTGTGGGACCTGCTGCGGGGCCGCTGCATGGCGCTGCTGGCCCCGGGCCCCGCGGGGCGCTGGGCCCGGCGGCGGGGCCGGGCTGCTGGCCGGGCGCCGCGACGGCACCGTGCACCTGTACCGGTACCGGCCCCCGCAGCCGGGAGCCGCCTGACGGGCGGGCAGGCCCCGACAGGGATGGGACCACGGGCTGCGTGTGCGGTGCCAATAAATGCTGCCTTGGGAACCAGCCCGTGTCTGGTGTCACTGCTCTACGGGGGGCTGCGGACAAGGAGCTGGGGGCTCTCACGGACACCGAGCTGTCCCCGACCAGCCGTGTGTCCTGCAGGCCCAGGAAGACAGTGGTGTCCCCGGGAAGAGCATTTCCAGCAGGTCAGGGATCCTGGCGCTCTGCTCAGCCCTGGGAGGCACTGTGGAGAGCTGTGTGCAGCTCTGGGCTCCTCAGGACAGCAGGGACACAGAGCTCCTAGAGCGAGTCCCACAGAGGCTGTGAAAATGGTGAAGGGACTGGATCACCCCTCTGACGAGGAAAGGCTGAGGGAGCTGGGGCTGGTCAGCCTCAGAAGCAGGCACAGCTGAGAGGGGCCTTATCAACGAGTGTAATTATCTAAAGGCGGTGCCAAGAAGATGCACCGGGCTCTTTCGGTGGAGCTGAGCAACACGAGAGGCTACGGGCATGGTGAGTTCCAGCTGGACACGAGGCAGAACTTCTTTCCTGTGCAGTGCTCGAGCCCTGGAACAGAGTCTAGACAGGGTCTGGAGTTTCTCGCAGTGGAAGCGTTCATCCCCGGGGCCATCGCAGCCGGGGTCCCGGGATCGCAGCCGGGATCCCCGGTCCAGCCGGGGTCACGGCACCGCCGCTCCCGGCCTGGTCCATCCCGGGATCAGGGGATCGCAGCCGGGGTCACGGGATCCCCGGTCCAGCCGGGATCCCCGGTCCAGCCGGGGTCACGGCACCGCGCTCCCGCCCGCTCGGTCCCGGGGCGCTGCGGCCGCCGCCCGGCAGAGGGCGCTGCAGGCACCGGTCCGGCCGCGCGGCGCCGCCCCGCGCCGCCCGCGCTGCTCCGGCTGCCGCGCGTGGCCGCGCCGCTCTGCCGCGGCTTCTCCGAGCTGCCGCCCCTGACCTTGGCCGACATCAAGGACCGGGTGCTCTACGTGCTCAAGCTCTACGATAAGATCGACCCCGAGAAGGTGAGCGGGGCCGCGGGCAGGCGGCCGGGCCCGGTGTAACGGGAGCTGGCGCGGCCGGGCCCGGTGCCCGTGCCCCGCTGACCGCCGTGTCCTCCCCAGCTCACAGCCGAGTCCCACTTCATGAAGGACCTGGGCCTGGACAGTCTGGACCAAGTGGAGATCATCATGGCCATGGAGGACGAGTTCGGTAACGGCGCCCGGGGCGGCCGGGCCGTGGGAGCGGCGGCACCGCCGGCCTGCGCCGTGTGGGGCCGGGAGCAAGCACAGGGCAGGGCAAATCCCCAGAGGCAGGGCAGACCCCACAGAGACAGCCCCGGGAGCAGGGCAAACCCCATAGAATGGGACAAACCCCACAGAGCCAGCTCCGAGAGCAGGGCCGGCCCTAGGAGCAGGGCAAACTGCACAGGGCAGGACAGACCCCCAGAGCAGGATAGACCCCACAGAGCCAGCCCTGGGGCCTGAGCAAACCCCCAGAGCAGGGCAAACCCCACAGAGCAGGATAGACCCCGCAGAGCCAGCCCCGGGAGCAGAGCAAACCTCACAGGGCCAGGCCCCAGAGCAGGACAGACCCCACAGAGCAGGATAGACCCCGCAGAGCCAGCCCCGGGAGCAGAGCAAACCTCACAGGGCCAGGCCCCAGAGCAAGACAAACCCCACAGAGCAGGGCACATCCCACAGGGCCAGCCCTGGGGCCTGGGCAAACCCCACAGGGCCGGGAGCAAACCCCACAGAGCAGGGCAAACCCCACAGAGCAGGATAGACCCCGCAGAGCCAGCCCTGGGAGCAGAGCCAGCCCCACAGAGCCACCAGTGAGCCAGGCACCCGCAGCAGTCAGGAATATGGCCCTTTGCTCCGGAGCTCAGCCCCTTTGGAAGCTGGAATTCTCTCCCACCCCCATGGGCACCAGCCAGGGAGGGGGAAAGGGGGGCAGTGGGTGCTGAGCTTGGCATTGCAGATCAAAAACCCCAGACAGTCCAGGCTGGTTTTGCTCACCAGAATTTTTTTCATCCTTAAACCTAATAGAGAAAAAAAAAAAGGTGCTTTGTCCTTATTGATTTATATTCCAAATTCCTTTTTATTTCCCTTGGACTTCTTCATGCTTCTTGCTCACCAGAATTTTTTTCATCCTTAAACCTAATAGAAAAAAAAAAGGTGCTTTGTCCTTTATATTCCAAATTAGTTTTTATTTCCCTTGGACTTCTTCATGCTACCCCTAAATCACATGAATTCTGGAGTAGGTGCCTAAGTGTCACCTTGGGCTGTAGGTGTCCCTGGGGTTTGGTCACTCTAAGCCTGAGGTGGATGCTACACTCTCCAGAGCCTTTGCTGGCAGTGTCTGTAATCCCCAAAGAACGATGAGTGTGCCCAGGAGCACTGGAACACAAACCAGACATTTCTGGGCTGTTTCTGACCCGTTCCTCCACAGAGGGCCCTAGTGGCCTGCCCTGCTGTTTGCTCCCTGCAAGCACATGACAGCACACTCAGCCTGGGGGGCTTCAGTGCTGCCTGGGGCTCCAGGAACATCCCCTGGCACTCACCAGTCTGGGGGGCTCTGGGAAGGCTCTGGTGGCTTTAACAAGGCACAGGGGGCTCTGGCTCCTGCTGTGTCCCCTGCTGGAAGCAGTGTCACTTTGGGCAGTGCAGTGACAGCTCTGGCTGACACAGCAGTCCCCTGAGCCACCAGCCAGCCTTCCTCAGCCTTGCTCCCTTGTGATTGCTTTTGGGCTGAGCGTGTGCCCTTCCTTGCAGGATTTGAGATTCCCGACGGAGATGCAGAGAAGCTGATGTGCCCACAGGAGATTGTAGATTACATTGCAGATAAGAAGGATGTTTATGAGTGAAGCAGTTGCTCAGAGGTGAGTTCAGAGGTGCTCTCAGGGTGCCTGGCACACACTGGGGTAGGGGCAGGGTGACGTGTGGCACAGGTGGGAGCCCAGCAGCTCGGGAGGGAGCTGGCAGCAGCCGTGGGTGCCAGCAGGGAGGGCAGCTGGGGTGTGTTTTCCTGAGGGTGGGGGTGTTTTCCTGGACCACCTGCAGCTGAGAGAGGGCATGGGGCTCAGCCTCTCCTCTGGTCCTGCCTGGCACATCCAGCACTCAGCTCCTCCCCGGGGCACCAGTGGGTGGCAGATTGCTCCCTGGGGCAGCAGTAGGTGGCAGATTGCTCCCCGGGGCAGCAGTGGGTGGCAGGCTGCTCTCAGCCATGGCCCCCATCTCCCCCTGCCCCTGGGCCTGTGGGGCACCTCAGCCCTGCCAGCGCTGCCATTTCCTCCGCCGCAGCCGGGAAGGAAATGGGCAGGAAAGGGTTATAGGAGCGGTCGGGGAGGGCTGCAGGGGAAATGAGGTGGCCTCAGGCCAGCCTGCAGCACTGATCCACATTCCTGCCTGTTCCTGTGTGGCTCCAGGCTTCCCCCCCAGCTCCCTGGGGCAGTGGGGGCTGAGTCCCTTCTCTGGCCAGGGCCAGGGAGGGAGCTGTGGCCCCTGGAGAGAACTGGGGGCTCCTTCTGTGCCTGTATTCAGTGCTCAGCGAGTCCTGACCCACTTCTGTACCTTTGAATGCTTGGTGAGATGTTAAACGTGTGGATTTTGTTTTGCCAGGAGTTGTCCCACACCAGGACGGGGCTGGTGCCGGCAGGGATGGACGGGAGCTGTCCCACTGCGGCCTTCTTTGGAAGCTGCACGTGGATGTTGTATTTAAAGCTGTCTGAATGTGTTGTCCTTTAAAAACAAGAAAAAAAAAACCAGGAATAAAGAGTTAAGACCATTCTGGTGGTGGCTGTTCTGTCTCACACAGTGGGTGGATCCTGGTGGTGGTGTTGGGGTGTGAAGGACACTCTGGGGACCCTGCCCCGAGATTTGGCTCTGCCCTGCATGCTTGTAACTGTTTATTTCATCAGTGCTGGTAAAAACAAGTTCTGTGTGAAAGGCTTCTGCTTTCCTGATGGAAATTAAGGGGGGGAATGATTTTCCTGCTGCTGAACAGCAAATTCACATCGCTGTTCCTGTACACCCGGTTCATCTCAGCACGGGAGCCTTGCTTTAACCCTCACGAGGCAGGAGCGGGTTATTTCTGAGCAGTTTTTCCTCAGAGCCAAGCAACACTGACATGTCACAGCAGTACTGCCAGGCTGGGAGCCAAGGAAGTGTCATTGGATAACAGATCCCCTGGCAGTGGGGGAGGTAAGGATGGGAAATGGAGCAGAGGCTGCAGTGCTGCCCGTGGTGCTGTGTTGTGGTGGGCTGTTCTCAGGAGCTGCACCTCTCTGTGAGACCCCTGGCACACCAGTGACCCTCTGCCTCCGGGGCCAGCTGTTCTCACTGTGCCCTTGGCAGCTCCTCCATGGCCCCAGGGCCTGGGTGAGCCCTGGGTGTTCTCTGAGCAGCTGCCCAGCAGAGCTGGGGGCACACGGTGCGTTTGGCTGCTGAGCTGTGGTGCTTTTCCCGTGGCGGGGACACAAGGTGTCTGCTGGGGGAGTGGCCGCTGGCTGCCCCTGGGTGTGGTGACCCCGAGGGATGCGGTGAGGGACCTGCAGCCGCAGCTGGATCCTGGGGCAGCCTTTGTCCCGGCACGGCCCGCGGAGCGGGGACAGCCGGGGCAGAGCGCGTGTCCCGGGACGAACCGGTGCGAGGGGCCAGGCCGGGGCTGAGCCCCCGCGTGCCGCAGGCGGCGGCTCCGTGAGCACAGCGGGCCGTGCCGAGCTGCCGAGCCCCGGCCCGGAGGGAGGGAGCGCCGGTGCCGCGGGGCGGGTCCGGGCCGGGGGCTGCGGTTCCGCTGCCGCCGCCCCGGCTCCCGCTGCCCCGGCTCCCGCTGCCCCGGCTCCTGGCCGCCGCAGGTGAGCGGGGCGAGGGGAGGTGGCACGGCCGGGAGGGGTCCCCGCTGCTCCCCGGGCGGGGATGCTGCGCTCGGGGGGCGGCGGCGGCAGGGCCGGTGCATCCCGGCGGTCTGCGGCGGCGGCGGGGCCGGTAGCGGCACCGGGCGGCTCCGTGTCCCGGCTGGGGGCGGCGGCTGCTGCTCGGTGTCACTGGGAGCTGCCCAGAGCGGGCCCGGCCGGGGGTACCGGGGCGAGCGGGCGGCGGGGCGGGCACGCCGCGTGCGTTTTCCGTGTGGCCGTGCCGTGCCGTGCCGTGCTGTGCCACCAGCCCTGCGAGTCCGCGGCCTCGAAGGCGGCGGGTGCTGCCCTGCGGAGCCCTTTGAGGCGCTGGCGGAGAGCGGGGCCCGCGGGGCTGCTGGTGACCCCCGAGCAGCGCCAGCCGCACCCGGGCCGTGACCACCCGCCCTGGCGCCTGCCGAGCCCGTTATCGCTGGAGAGGAGCCGCCACGGGCCCGGGCCCTGCCCGTGCCCTGCCCCGGAGGCGCTGGTGCCGGTGCCGGGGCGATCGGGCTCGGGGGCTCCCAGCACGGGCAGAGGGAGGTGATGGGCAGGACTTGGCTCCGCTCGTTGGGACCAGGACAGGGGGTTCCCGGGTGGGTTTGGGTTGTTCTGGAGCATCCCATTCAGCAGAGCCCCCAGCCCTCAGGGTTGCTCCGGGTGCCGGTGCGGGATGCTCGGTGCCCCGCACCGGTGCACGCTGCCCCTTTCCCTGTCTCGCAGTGCTCGTGGGATGCTGTGCGCGGCTCTGCCCGGCTCCGGGCAGCGGCACGGGCTCCGCTCTGGGCGCCGCCGACCCCTGCGCCCCGCCGGGCCCCGCGACGGGGCCGCGCTGCCGGACAGGTACCGCCGCCCTCCCGCCGCCTCCGCGGCACCGAGTGCGGCCGCTCCCGGGCCCGGGGCTCGGAGCCGCTCAGCGCCCTCGCCTCTGCCCGCAGATCGGCCGGGAGCTGGCACGGGGCAGCCGCCGACACCGGAGGCCGTGGGGCAGCCGTGGACAGAGGCTGAGCTGCTGCCCTCCCCCGGGACCCCCGCCGGGCCAGCCGAGCTCTCCAGCCCGCAGGACAGCCCCGGGCGGGGCAGCGAGGGGACAGCGCCGGCGGCGCGGGGTGGCACCGCCACCGAGCCCCCGGGGCCGCCGTCCCCTGCCAGGCTGGGGGTGACCCCTGCAGGGACCCCAGCCCCGGTGGAGGCAGACACAGATCCTGCCACCTCGCACTCCCCGGGCCCTGACCCTCGAGGACATGTGACAGTGGAAGGTGCCGCGACAGCCCAGGGGACACTTTTGTATTCACCACCCTCTGTGACAGTGCCAGGCTCTGCCAGGGGACAGGGGGGGTCCAGCAGCAGCCTGCTGGGGTGGAGGGCTGTTGGGACAGCCCTCGTGCAGAGCCAGAATGCCACTCTGCAGCTGGGTGACAGCAGCCCGGGGACCCGCCCGAGCACCGTGCTGGCCACTGACAGCCCAGCGCCGGGGACAGCAGGGACATCACCCTCTGCTGGGGGGCTGCAGGGGCTGCTGACCCCCGCAGGGACACTGCAGGGGACACACTGGGGGCTGCCAGGAGGACAGGGCTTTGCTTCCCACCCACGGGAGGGTCCCCACTCTGCCCCTCACCCCTCTGCCCTGTCCCCTGGGCCTGCTGGGAGCCCCTTGGGCAGCACAGCCCGGCCAGCCCTGGGGACAGGCCCAGCCCTGCTGCCTGCCACACACAGGGGCTCAGGTCTGCCTCTTGCCAGCACCCCAGGGGTGACCTCTCCCAGCCAGGGATGGGCTCTGGACCTGACCACGGGGGTCTTGGGGCCACCTGACAGAGGTGACATCCCCCTGAGCCCATCAGCCATCCCAGAGCAGCCCCCTGTCCCCCCTGGCAGCCCTGCTGTGGCGCAGGGTGGGGTGGCACACACCAGTCCTGGATCCTTCCACGTCCCCCCGTCCCCACAGTCTGCCCCAGCCAGTGGCTCTGCTGTGACCCTGCTGTCAACCCCGCTGCCTTCCCCAGGGACCAGCTGGGGGGTCCTGGGCTTTGGCCCCACCGTGGGCACTCCTCTGGGAGACCCCTCCCCAGGGCTGCCCCATTCCAGCTCGAAGGCGGGTCCTGCAGAGAGCCCTCCATCCCTGGGGGGGTCCCAGGTGGGAGTGGGCAGCCTGGCACCCCCCTCAGCACCTGGGCCTCCCCAGCAGCCAGCTCTTTCCCAGCCTGCTCCTTCTGTGGGACCAACTTCTGCTGTTGGTGTCACCACTGCCGGTGTCACTGCCACCACCGCAGCTGCCACCAGCCCGGAAAGGCTCGGGGACACGGGCACAGCAGAGCCACGTGCTGCTGTGCTGCAGAGGGATGGGCAGGGTGTGACGTGGGGATCCCCAGCTCGTGTGCCCACTGTGATGCCCGGGCCCCCCCAGCAGCCCACAGATTCCCACGGTGGGGGCCCTGGCTCCCCCCCAGCTGCTGTGGACACAGAGCTGGCCCAGCCATCGAGCAGCCCCAGAGGGAACACAGACACTGACACCCCCCAGGTGACACCGGCTGGGGTGGGCAGGGCCCCCCAGGTGTTCATCGTGGAGGATCAGCCCCCAGTCCTCAGAGGTGAGTCAGGTTTTGGGACCCTCTGCTGGGGCACGGCACACGGGGGAGGTGGAGGTGGCTCCTGGGGTGGGGTCACGACCTGCCTGTCCCCATGTCGCCCTGCAGCACCCCTCCTGCGCCTCCCCTGCGAGCTGGTGCTGGACATGGGGTTCGTGCCGGCCCTGCGGGACCCGGGGTCGCAGGAGCGCCAGGAGCTGCTGCACAGCTTCAACCAGACGGTGAGTGCGGGCTGAGCCAAGTTCTGCCGGCCGGGTTCTGCCAGCCGGGTTCTGCCAGCTGGGCTGTGGGCTGGGGGCCGGGCTGGGGGCTGCCGGCCGGGTTCTGCCAGCCGGGTTCTGCCAGCTGGGCTGGGGGCTGGGGGCTGCAGGCCGGGTTCTGCCGGCCGGGCCCCGCGCTCAGCCCCGCACCCCGCAGGTCGCCCCGCTCTTCGCGCCCGTGCCAGGCTTCCTGCGGCTGGAGGTGACCGGGCTCAGGTGGGTGCTGGCGCGGTGCCGCGGCGGGTCCCGCTGCCCCGCACGGCTGTCCCGCGCTGGCAGTGCCCGGGCAGAGCTGGCAGTGCCCCAGGCCGCGTGTCCCCGCAGGGAGGGCAGCGTGGTGCTGCGCTACGACGCGCTCTTCGCGGCCGAGCAGCTGCCGCTGCCGGGGCTGGAGCAGCTCCTGGAGGCCGCGCTGGGCTCGGCCCGTGCCCGGCCCGGGCTGGCGGTGGGCACGGCCCCCGTGCTGCGCCACGTGGCTCTGGGTGAGTGCGAGGCCATGGCCAGAGGGGCTGGTGGCAGGGAGGGCACACGCTGGGCAGGGAGCGGTGACACGGCTGGCCTGTCCCTGCAGCGCGGCCGCTGGACCCCTGTGCTCTGCTCTTCACCTGCCCGGCCGGCTTCGCCTGCGTGTCCAGGGCGGATGGGAACGTGACCTGCACCTCCCTCTGCCACCGCGCCTACTGCAAGAACCAGGGCATCTGCTCGCACGGCCGGGACCACCAGCCGCGCTGCCAGTGAGTGCCCTGGGGACAGCCCGGGCCAGGGCACTGTCCCCTGGCGCTGATGGCTCCCTCGGTGCAGGTGCCCCGTGGGCAGCGATTTCTGGTTCATGGGGCTGCGCTGTGACTACCGGGTGACACAGCAGGGCCTGCTGGGCACGGCGGCCGGGGTCCTGCTCAGCATCCTGCTGCTGGGCGCCGTGCTCGCCGCCCTCGCCGTGCGCCGCTTCAAGGCGCTGCTGCTGGAGGCCAGGGCCGACCAGACCCGCAGCAGGTGGGAGCACGGGCCGGGGCCTGGCTGGGGTCTGGGGGCTCTGGAGAGGGGGACTGGGCTGGGGCTGAGCTGGTGGGAGGTGATGGAGGGGATGCTCCCAGCCACAGGGAGTGGGGTGCAGCCAGAGAGGCTGCCCTGTTTGGGGCTGTGGTGGCACTGAAGGGCTGAGGGCTGTGCTGCTGTGCACAGATGTGTGAGATGTGCTGATGACTCCAACTGCGTGGTCCCTGGGACCCCTCAGTGCTGCCCGTGGCACAGGGTCTGCCTGCCCCAGCGTGTCCTGCCCGTCCTGGGCGGGTGAGCAAGGCTCCAGCACAGCCCTGACAAAGCAGCTCCTTTGGGAACGGGGCTCTGCTGTCCTGGCCTCACCCACTGCCCGTTCTGTAATGTGCCGTGGGGATTGTTCCCGAGGAAACCACTGCAACAGCTGCAGCCACGGCGGGGCTCGGCCAGAGGCTGATCAGTGTCACGGGCTCTGTCCCCACCCTGCGTGTGCGGCTGGGCCCTGCCCTGGACCCAGGAAATTTGGGCAGAAATCTGCAATCTGTGTGGTCAAGCTGTTGTGTGCTCGTGTGCTCACGTGCTTGTGTGTGTACACATGTGTACACATGTATGCATGTGCCTGCTGTCTGTGTATGTATCTATACATAGATGTATGTATACATGTGTGTGTGTATCTATATAGGTACACACAGGTACAGATACCTGTGTGTGCACACCTGTGTGTACCTGTGTGTATCTATACCTGTGTGTACACACGTCTCTATGTGTGTATTTGTGTGTACCTGTGTGTCTGTACCTCTGTGTACCTGTGTGTCTGTATTTGTGTGTATCTGTACCTGTGTGTACACACGTCTCTATGTGTGTATTTGTGTGTACCTGTGTGTGCACACCTCTCTGTGTGTGTATCTGTCTGTACCTGTGTGTGCACACCTCTCTATGTGTGTACCTGTGTGCACACCTGTGTGTACCTGTGTGTGTCTGTGCCTGTGTGTGCACACCTGTGTGTACCTGTGTGTGCACACCTCTCTGTGTGTGTATCTGTACCTGTGTGTCTGTACCTGTGTGTACCTGTCTGTACCTGTGTGTGCACACCTGTGTGTACCTGTGTGTCTGTACCTCTGTGTACCTGTGTGTCTGTATCTGTGTGTATCTGTACCTGTGTCTGCACACCTATGTGTACCTGTGTATCCGTGTGTGCACACCTATGTGTGTATCTGTGTGTACCTGTGTATCTGTACCTGTGTGTACACACCTCTGTGTGTGTCTGTACCTGTGTGTATCTGTACCTGTGTGTCTGTACCTGTGTATCCATGTGTGCACACCTGTGTGTACACATCTATGTGTGTATCTGTGTGTACCTGTGTGTCTGTACCTGTGTGTGCACACCTGTGTGTACCTGTGTGTGCACACCTCTCTATGTGTGTACCTGTGTGTACCTGTGTGTATCTGTCTGTGCACACCTGAGCCGTGCCCCCTCCCGCAGCTATCGCCGTTTCTGCCGCCTGGACGATGTCTCAGCCCAGTACTGGTCTCGCTCGGGGCTGCCCTCGGCCAGCTCGCTGGACAACCCGGCCTTCAGCAACTCGGAGGAGCTGCTGCAGCTGCAGGTCCTGGACGGAGGCTGCTGCGGCTGCCGCGGGGACTCGGCCGGCAGCGACGGTGCCAAGCGGGGCCCGGCGCCCTGTGCCCACCCCCAGTGCCAGCCCAGGTGGGAGCAGGGGCTCTGGGCAGGGAGGGCTTTGGGGCACACGAGCCCTGGCAGCGTGTGTGCAGCCCTGCCCAGCCAGTGGCTGCTCCTCCACGGGCGGTGCCAGGGGCTCTGACACCCCCCAGCCCTGGAGCAGCACCTGATTATTTTATTTTCTCCCATGGGAGGAGGTGTGTGTGTGCTGTAAGGGAGGATGGTTCACATCTGCAGGAAAGGGTGGCTCTGTGTGCTCATGGGAAACTCCCATCAGCTTCCAGGGGTGTCCATGGAAAAAGAGCCCTGGAAGTTTCCAGCTCCATTGGCAAAGGGCAGGACGGGCAGGAACCTCCCCAGGGGGATCAGGAGCAAAGCCACAGCTCCAGGTGTTCCCTCACTCCAGGCCTAAGCTTGGCACTGTCCCAAATTCATCATCCCCAGGGCACAGCACAGGGTCCCTCTCCTGCACCAGCCTGACTCTTACCCCCTTCTCTTAACTACCTGTGGATTCTTTTCCCAGTTTCCATTACGAGTGGGACACCAGCTCCAGCAGCATGAACGAGCCCATGGTGGACTCGGGGAAAGCCAGCGACATCTCGGTGTCGAGCTGGCCCATGGAGCCCATCCAGTGGGCTCCCTTCCCCCTGCACCAGCTCTCCAGGCAGCGAGCGGTGAGCCGGGGCCGGGCTGGGGGGGTTCAGGGGGTGCAGGTGCCCCGGGCTGCACCCTGCCCAGCCCAGCCCGGCAGGGTGACTCCAGGGCAGCGCTGGGAGCCCTCCCTGGCAGGGACAGCCCCCAGGGGCACGAGCCACGCTCCCTCTGTGCAGCACAAGGCCCGCTGGCCGCAGCCCTTCAGCGAGGGGCTGGAGCTGGGCACGCTGGAGCGGAGCTGGACGGCCTGAGGCCACGGACACGCGGCAGCGGGGTTCAGCTTGAAACCAACCACATTTTATTTCCACGTAACGAGCTCAGTGAAGGAATCCACACACTTGGACGATACAATCAACGCGGGTGTGATGTCAGTGATGTCAGTCCCAGCGGGGCAGGCCCGGCGAGCCCCTGCCCCGCTCCCTGCCCGCGCCCGGCTGGCACTGCGGGCTCCAGAGCAGGCATACAGAGGGCTCAGGACACACAGTGCTGGCATCCACCAGGTCGTGACTCTTGGGGGCAGCCTGGGCAGAAAGGCTGGCGCTTCTGGAGGGCACATCAGGCTCAGCTCTGCCCCACGGCCGCCGCAGGGAGGGAGACACACGGAAGGGCCGCTGCGTCGCTCATCATGATTCATGTCAATGAGGTATAAACACCAGGATGTTGTAAGCATTAAAGTTTATTTTCCAAAATGCTCTCCTTATTCGCACGTGTCCTCTGGAGCATCGAGCTGGGCACAAATGGTGGGGGCTGGACATGGGGCGCTGTACGGAGGGCAACGGGGTCCCAAAGGTGCTCGGATAGAAAAGGAAAAGCAAGCTGCAGTTCTACACTTAGACTCTCATAGTCTCAGAGGGGGCACGTTGAGGGAGATTTTTGCTAGAATAAAATGCAGATCTCTTCATAAAAAAATCAGTTTGCTAAAAGAAAACTCAACCTATGGGAATACAGAGCTATCGGATCGGTCGATATTCTCATCGTATAGAAAACAGCCTACAAATAAAGTCACAAAAAATAGACAGTTATATGCTGAGCAGCCAAAAACATCATGATTTATTAATATCTGGAGAAACTTCATAATTCAAACACAACCAAACTGTACATTTTACAATCACATTCTATTTGTAAACAGTTAAAAGCCACTGACTTCTTTTGCATCTTCGGACACAAACATTAGAATCAAGGCAATGAAATGATGGCGATTTCTGCACTGTTAAAATTTTTACCCTTGCCTAGTCTGGAATTCGTGGACTAAACAAGCATTCAATAATACCTTTTGTGGCAAGAGGATGTAACTCGTTCACTTTTGCGAGAAAGAACTTGCGAGAACTTTGTCAACATTGAAACTCGATACACACACGATCTGTAAGCCCAGCCCGTGGTTACAGGATGCATAGTTACTCAGGTCGGCTTGGGGACACGGCCCCACGGTAACACAGTCACAGAGCAGGAACAGCCACTCGATGGGATTACAAAAACTCGGATAACTACGGATTATTAGCAAACCACCACCACTCACTAAGAAAAGACAGCGTCAAAAGCAGAATGTCCAACTCCAGCTTGAAGCGTTTTTTTTTTTGGCAGAGAAAAGTCTTACAGAGCAATAAGTATTATCAGTGCTAAAAGTTGAGTTTTTTTTTTTTTTTCCTATAAGAAACTACAAGGAGTTTTTACTGGGGAACTGGTTTTCCTGAGAGCCATGCTCTTTGATTTAGGATACAGGAATAGAAAACAAAAGGACATGGCCAAACACTGTTCGTTATTCCCAGAGATAGAAAGCATCTTTTTCATTCTCAATTTTTTTTTTTGTCTTTTTAAAAATTTTTAAAATGATGGAAGAGTAAACATTTTTCTCAAAAAACAAAAAAAATATTCTGTAAAC